CGGCTGCATGGGGAGGTGCTTCCCCTGGCCCGTGGTGCTCCTGGTTTCGTTGGCTGTGTCCGTGGCCCCAGGACAGTCCTGCTGGGTGTGGAGCAGCAAAGGTATCCCCTGGTAGACGATGGCAAAGGCTGTTCTCACCCAGCAGCCCTCCTTGGTTCACGTTTTCCAGTTGCACTGAGGTCTCCTCGGCAAAGGGAGGTGGGATTCTTGGTAGGAGACTGAACAGTCGTCCTTGGAGCTGGCGTGGCAGGGCTGAGAGCCCTTCGGAAGGGAAGCTGCTCTGGTTAGCTTTCCGTATTATCCACTTCCAGTTTAAAACAACTGAAGCTTGTACCCTGTGGCTGTCTCCCCCCTGCAGGGCTGTCTGCCGGAGACCTGAGCTCCAGTGGAGCCAGGAGCTGGGGGTCCTTCCTTCCCTGTGTTCCTCCATCACAGAAGGTGGCTTTGTGGGTGTTTGGTTTTTGTTTTTTTTTGTTTTTTTGTTTTTTTTTTTCTGGACATACAGAGTAAAACCTAATGACTTGTCGAGAGCGGGCCCTGAGCCCCTTCTGCTATGCAACTGCTGCTCTGGAGACACAGGATGTGTCCTCTCCAGGCCCCCGGTTAAGTCTGGCAGTGGAAGGCTTTTCCCCCTCCGTGTCCCCTGTGCACAGTGCGTGTGTGTGTGTGATCTCCCGGGGCCCCACGTGCACTAACTGTTGGATCCCACCTCCTCCTCCCAGCCCCTCCAAAGAGCCTGGCCCATGTGCCTTCTGCACTTTCCCTGGGGGGACGCGGACCCCACTCCTGTCCCAGTGACACTTGGCTCGGTCCCCATCACACCCCTGCTGGCAGCGGGACAGCCTCCACTTGCCCGTCCCCACGACTATAGTTCTTAACTGGGTTCTTTCCTACTTGCACATCTGGTTACAGTGGGACCACAGCTGGGGGAGGGTGTGGGGCAGCCCCCTGTCAGCAGCCCCCAGGCTCATCCCTGTGCCTCTCTCCTCCTGTGGAAAGCCTAGGCCCCAAAAGTGCTTTATGTTTTTATAGTTACTTTGTATTGATATGTAAAATAGCAAATTCTGGTCCTTGCCCTGTGGAGTGTGGCTGGAGTCTGATGTATATAATAAAGTACTTTTGCCATAACAGTGGTGGCTTTGGATCTTGCATCCCTCTGGGACCCGAGTGCTCCCCTTCTGCTGTGGCTGGGAGGGGACCTGGTGTGGGGATCCCACTCAGCCCTGCTACCCCCCCCCAGCTAATCACCGAGCTGTACAAACAACAGGGAACAAGCAGGGCAGTGCATCTTGTATTTAATGGAGTGATGAGTACCCCCCACCCTGCTGCAGCGCGTGGGGATGCTATGCAGGAAGGTCCTCGGGAGGTGCCCAGGCTGGGGGACAACCTCTTCGACAGGCGCCAACTTCCCAAAGCTGCAGTTGACTCATCCTGAGCATCATGGGTTACCCCAAAGCAGTAGCAGATTCGACGGCTCGAGCAGGAAGGATGTTCTCGTGCCCTTGCAGTGACTCTTTAAGGCACATCGCTGTTTCGCTCAAAAGCTGGGTTTTGCTCTTGCGCTCTGACAAACCTTCCCAGGCTCTGTCTTCACTCTGGAGTGGAGTTATGATTCAGTCCTGAGAGCACTTGAGATGACAAAGGATCCAGTTTTCTCCAAAAAAATAAGTGTTATTCCAGCACAGAGGTATCCCTGCTTTCCCCTGGAGATCCGGAGGTATGCCAGCTGCCAGCAGGCACCGTCATCGTGTCAACTGGGGGATGCAGTGAGGGGGGCACAGCAAGAAGGCACTGGGGGCCGAGTGCTGGCTGGGGCAGGAAGAAGTCGCTGTTTGTGGGGTCCCTTACCAAAGCAGGGTCCTGCTGGTACAAAACGTTTCAGTCCTGAGGCAGTTGCATTGGGGCAGAAGCAGTGAACGGTTCAAGAACAGCAGCAAAACCGGGCGTCATTTCTACGCTGGGGGCCAAAGCTGGGTTTGTGCAGCCAAGTGAGCGAGGTCGAGTGCTGGCTGGGGCAGGAAGAAGTCGCTGTTTGTGGGGTCCCTTACCAAAGCAGGGTCCTGCTGGTACAAAACGTTTCAGTCCTGAGGCAGTTGCATTGGGGCAGAAGCAGTGAACGGTTCAAGAACAGCAGCAAAACCGGGCGTCATTTCTACGCTGGGGGCCAAAGCTGGGTTTGTGCAGCCAAGTGAGCGAGGTTGGGGGGGGGGTCTACTCCTCGTTGGCCCAGGCAGAGCCACCTGCCTTCTCCTGCAGGTGGGGAATCACCGCTTCGGTGTAAAACTTCTCCAGCTTGGGTACCGTCTGCCCCCAGTACGTGGCATCGAACTCCACGGGGACCACGGCCGTCTCCTTGTTGGTGTGCACCACGAAGTCAGCCTGCTGGAAGCCAGCAGCCGCCAGCTGGCACTGGATCTGGGTGAAGTAGGCGTGATCCTTCTTCAGGGCATAGGAATCCCCGTCCACCTTCAGGCAGAAGTCCTTGTCCTTGCAGGCCTCGCGCACCGTCTTGTTCCTGTGCTTGTAGGGACACTTCACCTCCAGCAGCCCCAGCGGCTTCCCTGTGGCCGCCTCCTTGATGACCCCATCCGGGCTGGCGGCAATCCACGTCTTATCCCGGTGGATGAAGAGGCCGCAGTCCTCCACCCGCACCGGCTTTTCCACCTCCTGTGACTTCACCTTCTCATAGGCCTTCACGGCCGCCTTCTCGTTGCGGATGCCCCAGGACATGGCCGGCGTCTGCACCCCGGGGTTGGAGCTCACCACGGCTTTCAGGTAGGACTGGGGCACCTCGGATGTCTTCCCGTTGGCAAACTTGCTGTT